TTCCATTTATTTATTGTGTTTCTTGTTTTTTTGTATGATTTTATGCACGTAATTACTGTAAACTTCGTGTAAAATGCTTTATAATGAGAGATTTCTTGTGTCTGGAACCAATTAATGTAATTTACATTAATTCTTATGGAGACAATTAATTTGGTGTTCGAACAAATCCGTGTTCGAATGGACTTCTGGAATGAATCAAGTTCGATCTCCGGGGTACCACTGTACATCATTTCAGCAGCATTGATGTGGTAACTGTACAAGCAAACTCTGCAAAGGTTTCAAACCAAGATCTAGCAACCATAGCTTAAAGCGAGGACGTCATTGCCTAACACATCTGCCAAGTAATCAGCAATGATTCAAACGTGACTACATCTGCTGATGAAACACTGTACTGGTCCAAAGGTTGCTTGCATCGAATCAATGGAGCTGAACTAATGCACTGCAAGAAGGCAGTGTGGCCTGCAAGTTGTGTAATATATATGTGGGGACAAATGTCTGAAGGAGACATATTGTTTATCTATTGTTTTTCTTTATAGTCTCCACAACTATGCAAATGATTACAGTAGTTGGTGTTATTTAGAATAAAATGTCGTGTCGAACTAGGGTCCATATGTTAAATAGGACCCATCTCCTAAAGGGAGAGTCCACTATACGATTTTTAAAAGTGGTTTTGACTTTAAAACACATTTTTCGCAAATGCCGTTACAATTAGCACGACTCATAATGTTTTATTGGCTCAGATGGCATATGTTAAATAGCCCCTCCTCTACCCTATACAGCCAGTGCACTTAAGCATTAAGAAAGTGGCAAGTTTGAGTCACGTGACAACGTAAAGAATTGGCTGAGGGTGTACGACACACATTTTACTTGCGTAATCTGACCCCCAAAAATAAATTATCAATCACGTTGGGCACAAAAGCCCATGTGCTCAATTTACAAACAAAACATTGCTTTGCCCACCCCCATTTTTTTTTACAAACGGTGTAAAACGAAAGCACATTCGACACGTTAATTCGCTTCATGTGTATTGTAGAGCACTTTTAACAATAAGGTTCAAGTTCAGAACTTCTTTCAAATGTACACACTTCAACACTGTACAGTGATGCATTGCCCTGTAAGTGCGCAGCGATTTAACCGTGTAAACCCCGAAATGAAAGCAGTGAGCACATTCTCTGTTGAGGAATGTTCACTGTCAAACAAAAAATCCCCTTCCTGTTCTCGTGACGCAGGTAATGTTTACTTCTCGCGGTCGTCACTGTTGAAACTTCAAGACCATTTTTGACGACTCTTACTGTGTCGTAGGGTTGTACTCGATCTTGAATCGCTTAATGGTGGCTCGTTATGGCAACTTGTTTATCGCTGAACAAGAAGGTGCTAAATTTTTCGATTTAAAGCTTTCGTGACTGCAGGGATTCATATTCTTGTTTCTTTCGGTAAAGTCACGTAGAAGGGAAATAATAAAATAATAAAAATATAAAAGAACCAAGAATAAGAAGGTGCCACGTTATATTATGGCACATCGAGGTTGTGGTCAAGTGTGAAAAGCAAATGACCATAGATATTCAGCGCTGGGGCCATCGATATTTTATATTCACACGACATGTCGCAGGCTTTGTAGCAAATTGGCTGGATCCCCCAGGACATTAACTTATCTCAGTCATTACAAAAAAAAATCACATTGCAAATGGATTTTTTTTCGTTCTGTGCTGTAAAAATCACAACTTTCAAAACCAAATGTTAATCGTATGCAGCAACCAGCTCGCCAGGTTACTGTGTGACATTCTCCACGAATAGTACAGACGGTATGTCGTCAACAGAGGGAAGTGAGGCCAAAATGATTGCACTGTATTTTGCCCCAACGTCTATGCTCCCCCACATTCACCAACGTGCAGGGACCAGCGTGGTGAAGTATGGTCAAATAACCCCGCGGGGAAGGCCCTGCTACAGCAGTGGATTGTCAACAGGGAACAAACATGCCCTTATACACAGCACTGTCATGTTTGACACGACAATATGGCAGGGATTACATAGATTAATTATGATTGTTTTATCCAGTGATATGTTTTAGTAACAACCGTTACAGTGACATTACGAACGAAATGCTGAAATGAAAATTACGGTACCGTAGTTATTTATGAAGCAATTCAGTACAGGATGTGAAATATTCCGGAAGTCACATCCAATAAAACGTAGTGGCTATAAACTTGAAAAAAACTCTCTCGTCACCACCCCACGATCATCAAATTCACTCCCCACTCAATCGATGATAATCAACTCGTTACACGCTCAACGCACCCGATGATGGCAATTGTTAAACCCGTCCTACGTGATGCCCCGAGCAACGAACGCTGGCTGCGTCGCACATGCTCCACGTGTGTAAAATGTGCGTGCGTGTTTCACGTGTGTACAGGCAGAGCCGGCCCAGCCACTAAGCGACCCTTGCAATTGCAAAGGGCCCCGTGGCCAGCAGAGGGCCCCCTAGAGTCACTGCGAGCTCGTGGGTGAAAAAAATCATACATCAAAGGGGCCTCCAACCAAATTTTGCTTAGGGCCCCCAAAGGTCTAGGGCCGGTTCTGTGTACAGGTGTGTGTGTGTACATACGTGTAACGCAGATCTTACTTTGAATCGACGCTATTTAACTTTCAACGAGTTTTGCCTGTAAACATTCAACAGAATGGAAGGCATGCATGCAGGAATGGTGACCAAACCAGTTCCACCCACGCACTCCACAATGACGTGGGGACACATCAGCCACACCTCCCGCTTAACGCTTTTATTTGCCGCTGGAACGACACGAGGCGCTGTATAATAGGCTTCTTCACCTATTCGTTTATAAACAAGCAGGCGATACGCCCCCCACCCCCCCCCCCCCAATGCGTAACTCCTGTCAGCGGCCCTATTACCCGCAACTCCTATCCGCGACAGCTAAAGGGTCCGCGAAAGCTCAAATTGTCCGGGCCACAGTCTTCCAGTTATTCGCGATTTTACCCTTAGGGGTCGTCCATAAATGACGTCACGCCATTTTGGACAATTTTGACCCCCCCCCCCCCTCGTCACACGGCGTCACAAAAAGTCAGATCCCCCCACTCAAATATGACGTCACAAAGCTCTGCCCCCCCCCCCCCAAAATATATAAAACATGCTTCAAATCGCTTTAAACTATTGTCATTGTAGTGCGTATTTAATGTGGCGCTGCACTCTGATGTTGTAGGAGAAAACATTTATTAAAAAGTCTATTTCATTAAGTAGAACGTGTTGTCTATATTTATTTAAAGTCGCGCATTTTGACGTGACATCACATTTCTCAAACCCACCCCCCTCGTCACACATCGTCACAAATGTCTGACCCCCCCCCCCCCCCAGGTGCGTGACGTCATTTATGGACGGCCCCTTAATGCATAGCCAACGGATTGATAAAATACTAGCAATTTAGCCGTGGACTCAAAGAGTTTGTCAAATTCATCGTGTTCTCTGCGATCTGGTACCCCGCGGATACGGAGAGTAAATTAGCGGATAATAGGATCCGTAATATTAGTTTCCCCTAATATCGTCACAGATAAGTTCTGTATAATGCATGACTCTCTACGTGCTATCAGCCACATCCGCCTTTTGGGAGTAATTTCATTCTGGTTAACACGTAGGCTTTCGCGACCAATATCTTCACATAATGTAGGTGTTTTTTTGGGTTAGATCGTGTAAATATATAAATGTGTCGTGAAACCCGCCACCACCCGACACAGCCAATTAGTAAAGTTTGTCACTTAAAAAGAGCGTGCCAATTCGTCACTAGTACAGCACTAACCGGTGTGTTGGAGAGCAAATCGACAACATTTATAATCCGAGCACGACGTTTGCGCCAGTATTTACAACTAGCACCATCAGGCAAACAGCCAGAATTGTGGAGAAATCCTCCTGTTTCGTTCCCTCGAATTTCATTCAGAAGCACTGATGTTACAAAAGCAACCACTCCACCGGTTCAACGTTGCGTTGTCAAAATAAATCGATCCGGGCTTAAAACCAATCATCGCTGATGAACTGCCAGATGTTGGTGTAGACAAAGTTCCCCTCTGTTCGCGGGATCGGTGGATCGCAGAACAATCTTATGAAATGCCCTCACCATAAGAGCCGAGGTACAGCGATATAACCTCATCGCCATCTGTTTCCATCTGTACGGGGATACAGTTGTTGGTCCCATTGCGCGCCTGGGCTCATGATCATTGCCTCATCGCCATCTGTTTCCATCTGTACGGGGATACAGTTGTTGGTCCCATTGCACGCCTGGGCTCATCATCATTGCCTCATCGCCATCTGTTTCCATCTGTACGGGGATACAGTTGTTGGTTCCATTGCGCGCCTGGGCTCATCATCATTGCCTCATCGCCATCTGTTTCCATCTGTACGGGGATGCAGTTGTTGGTTCCATTGCGCGCCTGGGCTCATTATCATTGCCTCATCGCCATCTGTTTCCATCTGTACGGGGATACAGTTGTTGGTCCCATTGCACGCCTGGGCTCATGATCATTGCCTCATCGCCATCTGTTTCCATCTGTACGGGGATACAGTTGTTGGTTCCATTGCGCGCCTGGGCTCATCATCATTGCCTCATCGCCATCTGTTTCCATCTGTACGGGGATGCAGTTGTTGGTTCCATTGCGCGCCTGGGCTCATGATCATTGTCTCATCGCCATCTGTTTCCATCTGTACGGGGATACAGTTGTTGGTTCCATTGCGCGCCTGGGCTTCATCTGGACGCTCCAGTTTGCTCCCACTCGCATAGGCAATCGTTTGCTGAAAGCATCGTACACTGAACAACAACACAAACCCAGTGCAAGGACTTTTCTGGATATGTAGGAAAAAGTAATATGGGTCCTAGTTCGATCCAAAACCATGACTTGGCGGCAAGGTGTGCCATTTAAATATTGGATATTTAAATATGCCCGTGCGGAGGATGGGCGCGCATGTCGCAACGGGGATTTCCTGCGCGCCTGTCGCTGTTCAGCGTTTTCGCGCTGTCGAAGGGCGCTTTTTTTATCTCCCTATTCGCGAAGCTTCCAACTCACACGTCAAGTATACAAAGTGTGTCGAGGGTTTTATGAACGTAGACGAGGTGGCTTTTTTTATTTTCTTTTGGATGAACACGTTGAGTTTGATCAAAGTTGTATTTCTTTGGCACTGAAGTTTCAGCTTCCTTCGCGTGAAGACCGGGCCACCACTTCCCGGTACAGTTTTGCGATCGCGTTTGCTTTTAAAAACGTGTCTTCTTTATTGCTCAGCTTGTTTTGTTACGTCCAGTGTTATGGTAAACGACAAGCACAGTTGATGATAAAAATATATATGTTACCTTGAACGTACATCACTTGTTCCATGTCACTGTCGTTTTATGCTGTACGCGTGCTGATGCAAGCCGGCGCTTCAAGGGACGTATTGACACGACGAGATCAGATCTCGTATTGCTGTGGTGGTTAAGTTTGTGCAAGTGGTCGTTTAAGTCTGTGCTTGCGGGCTTCGTCCGGCAGTGCAATGACCATGGCCGATGATGATTGTGCACACAAGTATTCGATATTTCGTTGCGCTTATAAGCGTACCGTAGTTGTGGATGGTTGCACTCGAAAACGCTTGGACTGCCTGACAATATTCACTAGTTCTTTGGGGAAGTGCTGTATTGAACTGATTTATGGCCCCCAATGAGCGGGCCATTCACGTTGTTTATTTGTTCATGATGGAAATGATTAAAATAAACTATCCACTTCGCATGCCTTATTCCAGCAGCCAATGCGCTGGTGAATACCGCTTAGCGAAAGCTTGTTTCACAACTTAGGCTAACTTTTCCAAAAGTATCTGAACTGCTTTTAGTATATAGTATTGCAGGGTTATAGGGCAGTGGTTCTCAACCAGGGGTTACACGGGAACCCCTGGGGGGTACGCGAGGTGATTTTACAAATGTGCGAAATTATATGATGCACGAGAGTGATTGGTGAATAGTCATCGTGTACGACTATGAAATGACGACGATGCAATGTTTAATCCATACGGTAACCTAAAACGATATTTAAAAAAAATACTTTCTAAGCTCATTGATCAGAGAGCGCAAATAAGTTCCGTCATGCGGGCAGAGCGTCTGTTGAATGTGCAGTTACAAACCAGTTAGGATACGATAATTGGTTTTTTTACCCTTTTATCTGGCAACAAAACTGACACCTTTTTACAAGGAGTCATGTTTGCATAGACCGCAATACCTGCAGTCATAATACAAACAAAAGAACATAACTCTGATAATGTGCACTGTCCTTGAAGTTGATTGGTCCACACCCGAGACAGCTTTCCTTAGAGCCTAGTCTCACATGGGTTGGACCAGATGACGCCAAAAGGTGCCTGCAGGTATTGCGGTCTATGCAAACATGACTCCTTGTAAAAAGGTGTCAGTTTTGTTGCCAGATAGAAGGGTAAAAAACCAATTATCATATTTTTACTGGCAAATGAGGTTCCCATAGTATAGTTAGGATATCTCACAATATTTGGCAATAGGTTTAATCCATACGGTAACCTAAAACGATATTAAAAAAAAAACTTTCTAAGCTCATTGAGCAGAGAGCGCAAATAAGTTCCGTCATGCGGGCAGAGCGTCTGTTGAATGTGCAGTTACAAACCAGTTAGGATACCTCACAATATTTGGCAATAGGTTATCCTATTGATGTTCATTATTCGTATATGTATTTCTCGGAACCATGTTAGGTCAGACAAGGGGGTACTCGGTTGAAACAGCATTTAATAAACGGATGCAAGTTGCCCAAAGAAATGTTGAGAACCACTGGGACTAGAGGGCATGTTCGTGGTCTGGTGGTGGTGGCGTTAACAGAGGGCTTGACACACAAGTTCCCATCCAGGGATGCTTGTTCCATTATTCCACCAAAATACCTGAAATTAGTAGTTTATCCTTGTTTGTTTATATTTGTTTGAAGTCAACCATGGCCGTATTATACATTGGCCCCTGCCATGAGAAGATGCCCGTTTCACACTTTGGCTCAGCATCGCCCATTGCTATTCGCATAGCCTCACTGAGCATTTGAACGCGGGGCCACTGACGTTTTAATTTCACAGCAATGATACGTTTCTTAACATGTTGATCTGAATCCGTTTTTCACGAAAACTTTCATCTCGTTACAGATGGCAGGGGTTGCTGCATTGTGCCTCCTGGCCATTGTATGGCACAGCAATGGCTTCCAAGCTCTCCCCCTCGAACACCGTCACGACAGACGTCAGCCATTCAGGGGTGACAACTACGTTTGGTATGACGACCTCACCGGCCGCCCCATACCTTGCTGGAGGTGCACGGCTGGGGAGTACGTGACCATGCACTGCAAGGAAGGGGTGCCTGAGAGCACAGAGTGTGCCGCCTGCCCCAAAGGAACCTACACGGACATGCCTAATGGCCTGGAGAGGTGCCTCTTGTGCGCAACGTGCCACAACTTCGACCACCACTACATGGAAGCCCCCTGCAAACCGTACAGCAACACATTGTGCCGCTGTCAAGGGCGCATGTATAAGGAGGGAGACGTCTGTCTGCATTGTGACCCTGGCTACGAAAGGAGAGGTAGGTGCTATGCCATCTTGTCTCATTTCAATCACACCCATTTCGACTGGTGCTTCCAAGCCAGTGCAGGGCTGTCACGGTTTTTTTTCCCACTGGGTATTTTCCAGAACAAAAACTATGATGCGCTAATCTCACAATACATCTGAATCTGTTGGCCAAGAAAGGGCATGGGTGGGGATAATTATGCTTTAATTTTGCATGACATCAAGTCAGTACACTTTTTTGAGCACAACAGCATCAAATATGTGTCTTGACTAATTTAGGATTCTACAGGAACACAATGTCACACTGTCTTGTCAATGACAAGCATAACATTTTCGAATCATCCCTATATGTTGCATGCAAAACATTAAATTTTTCAATTAGGATAGTACTGATATTTAAATCTAGTCTGTTAATAGTTGTTAATATGCCATCTTCTTGGCACAGTGTACATTTGTGTGCATATCACTCAACTATAAATCTGAAGGTCATGGGTTAATGTCCAGGTCAGGGATTGACTAAATCCATGAAGCTTGTCAATTCAACAAAATAAGCACCATTTTATGGGATGTTAAAAATCGTAAATCCGATGAAGAGGGTGGCCCTACCTTAGGATGTGGAATTTCTACCACTGGATCATAGCCTGGCCAGCTTGGAAGCAATTCCCTCTAGATCACCGCTATCGTGGAGGGCCTTCTGCCGGCCGTGCCATGAGCAAGCAATTGCAGGGCTGCACCTTTATCTCAATGATATTTAGTTTTTTCATGTAAACTTTCCCATTGATAACAGAGGGAACCACTCTTTTGTACACAGTGGCAAGAGAGCCCCGTTCAGAGACTGGTAAAATAAACTCCGGAAGGCTGTTATTTGAAAAACTAGGATGTCAATTTCCAATCAATTTTCAATCTAATGTAGTTTATTGCCTGGGTAACCGGATGCCAATAGCAAAACTGGCATGTGCTTTAATATAGTTTTTACTACAATGACCATGACTCACACTCATGTGACTGACCAAGCCCATCCTTGCAATGCTATTCACGTAAGGGGCCGTCCATAAATAACGTCACGCACCTAGAGGGTGGGGGGGGGGTCAGACATTTGTGACGATGTGTGACGAGGGGGGGGTTTGAGAAATGTGATGTCACGTAAAAATGCGCAACTTTAAATAAATATTGACAACACGTTCTGCTTAATTTAAATAGACTTTTTAATAAATGTTTTCTCCTACAACATCAGAGTGCAGCGCCGCATTAAATGCGCACTACAATGACAATAGTAATAGTTTAAAGCGATTTGAAGCATGGTTTATTATTGTTTGGGGGGGGGGCAGAGCTTTGTGACGTCATATTTGAGGGGGTCTGACTTTTTGGGACGCCGTGTGACGAAGAGGGGGGGGGGGTCAAATATCGTCCAAAATCGCGTGACGTCATTTATGGACGGCCCCTACACCAAATATGTTATACCCATTCTATATCTACCACATCAATGAAATGGCTGGAAATCGAACGCGGATCGCTGGGCTAATTACGCAACACTGTACCACCACTGCACAGTTGAAACCTTAAGCAGCATAAAACCTCAAACGATTGTTGTTTAGGAAATAATAGCAATGCACTGTACGATAACAATTAGGTAACCTGCTTAAAACGTAGGTTTCTGTAGCCAATGCCACGATCCTTGTTTGTTCTTTGGTTAGGCCACGCAGTAATTTGTGCCAAAAGACGTGTCATTAACTCTTGAGTGGCAACCCAAAGCATATCCTGTGTGTGACTGGTCGCCACTAACTCCTAACCATGGACCACAGAACCTTGTACTGTACTGCCCGAAAGATAAACTCCCAAGGCGGTCTACCTGGAATTCACCCAATGCTCAGAAATAAGCAAAAGAAAGGCACAATCACTCACAAGTGGATCTCTAATAGTGGCTCTTCATAGACCATACGAAATATTAATATCGCATTCAGAAGTCGTATTCCAAAGGTTAAAATGGGTGTGTGGCAGTTTTTTCTGTTGTCGGTCCCAGCCAGTGATAGAAATTGCACAATGCTATGCCTGGAGTTCTTATACCTAAGGCAACGAATGCATTAAATTAGCAGAACAGTATTCCCTCGTTATTCGCGAGGGATACGTCGCAGAGATGCTCGTGAATTGCAGATTTCTCAGATAATTATATTGGTTCACGAAAACCTATATTTTTAAATGAATGACCTTAAAAAATACGTTAATAAGATATGTCCATAGTGCAGTGCACAGACAATTGCAACCACAACTCGAAAATAGTATGATTTAACCTGCATAACCAGCATGAAGTTACAGTGGCGAGATGTTAACTACCTCACCTGGTATACAAGAGGTCGTGAATGCGATCACGACCCTGATGCCTGTATATTTGGAGGTTGTACGTTCTCCCCGTGGTCGAGTGGGTTTTTATCTGAGTCCTCCACATTTAGAAATGTCCGTTTAAACTATTTGGCAGCTATATATTTCCACATGGTAAGCCACTTCGTTGAGCTGTGATTTGTGGCCAGGTCGCTCTGAAAAATAGCTATATAGCTCAGTGGGCCTTACCTGGTCAAATAAAAAATCGCTTTCTAACAATTACAATTTTCTAAGATAAAACCACTGCAATGTAACTTCCTTTTTTATATTCACCAACGTCTTATATAAATGTATAAATAGACGTACAGTCATTTAGTAAGTTTACTTTGCAGTTGCTTTGATAGGAATGTTTAAAATTAATTTACTTTGTCACTTTAGTATTATTATAACCCCTGACCTTTGTGCAACTGTTGTGGGGCTAAAGACGTCCCTTAACACATTCACTTGTACAGGAGGTATTAAACAAAACTTAATGTTTCACTAAGTAAAAGTCGAGATTATTAGTCATCGAATGTAGACATGCAAAGTGCAGTCTTGACATTTATAAATATATTGTTTCACTTAGAGATGTCAGAGTTAACACATTTTGTTTAAGGATTGTACAAGTCCTCTTTTCAACACTTTACCGATATGGTGTTCTTTTGAAATGTCCCACCAACGTGAACAATAATGGGTGTTGCACAATGCTCGTGGCATCCTGTATCTACATTTGTCCAGGGCCTTTCCTAGCTAGACTCAGTATGTACCTGATGTGGTGTGAAAAACATCCGTTGCCAGGTGTGGTGTTGACCACACCATCACTCTTGCAGGCACTCGCGAACAGCACGGCAGTATCTGTAAAGCAACGACATGGGATCTTCGTGTGCGCTTAATCAAAACAACTGAACTTTGCTCGTCTATCTGCTGCTTCCAGAATCCGTGGATGGGGAACATTGCCGCAAGTGTCCTACGGGATCCTTCTCCTTCCCATCTCGGGGCCAGGACACCTGCCAATCGCACACCAACTGCAGTGCCTTGGGGAAGACATTGCAGAGTGCTGGCACCCATTCATCTGATGCCACCTGTGCACCTGTGCCTACAACTGCACCACCTGTCAACACGCCGCCGCCCAAGGATATGGGCACTGCGGGTGGACCCCACTCGCGCACAACTGACGCCGCAACTTCAGCCTCCCCCGCAATCCGTGAGTGTCGTCCGTTGACATAATTACAATCTCCCATTGTAATAAAATGCTCTTTGCTTTTTTCGGTAGCGAAAGCACAACCATCACCTAAGCGGTTGTGCTTTCGCTACGTTGTCCCCACCTGAAGAAGGATGCTTGTGTTGCGCCCGAAACGTCGTGATTTCATTTATTTAGATTTTTTTACCTACGTGACTTTACCGAAAAAAACCAAAGAGTATGAATCCTTGCAGTCACGAAAACTTAAAATCTAGAATTAATAAAATGCTGTTTGTCTACCTGTCATTCACGGACCCGGTGGGGGCCTGGTTAGCCACGCTGGGTGGGGTGGGAGGGGGAGTAGTTGATAGGGGAGGGGCTGATGACCTCAGCCAACTGGGCAGTTGAGTTCCTACGTCACGGAAGATTGGTGGGGGGGGGAAGGGGGGTCACGGGACGTAGAAGCTTGTGAGGAGAGGGGAGGGGGTGATGACGTCACGCAGCACTGAAGTAGAAAGCTGTTTTCAAAGCGCAATTCGAATTAACTCAGCCCAATCATCCCTACAGCAGTCATTGAAATGAGTATCACTTCAACTAAACGCATGTTTTTTTTATTTAAATCAGGTAAGGACCACCTGAACTATGTAGCTATTTTTCAAAAGCGACCTGGCCACCCCAAATTCTAGCTCAACGAAGCGGCTTATCACGTGGACATTTCTAGCAGCCCAAATACTCTGAACGCGTGTTTCTAAATATGGAGGGAAAACCCAGAGGTCCCAGAGAACAATCCACGCAACCACGGGGATAACGTGCAAACTCCAAACATACATGTACAGGTGTCTGGGTCGGGATAGATCCCACGACCTCCTGCACACCAGGCAAGGGCGTTAACACCGCGCCACTCTGGGAGGTTGACAGTGGCTGCTCAATGCAGAACCTGGACTTTGCCGTGGGGAATTTTTTCAAATTTAAAATTTCCCCACGACAAGCCCAGGACTGTCGGTGTTCATTCATGCAAGGAGATATTATTTGATTGTTAATAGTGTAAATCTTGACTTAAAGCTTTCGTGACTGCAGGAATTCATACTCTTTGGGTCTTTAGGTAAAGTCACCGAAAGACCCCAAGAGTATGTTCATAGTGTATTTGTTTCATCATATTTTTTTATTCATTTGATTAATATTTTAACATTTTTAACAGCTTAATATTAACATTTGCATGACTGTTTTCTTACATTGCTTACGTGGGAAACATCTATTCATTTCCTTTTAGGAGTCGACCTTATCTTAGCAGGCACAATGTGTTTCCTTTCTCTTGAGTATGGTTGAATAGAGTATATGTAAACTTATTGTGACAATATGACAGCTGTCTGTCCTGCTTTGTAGTAGTGGAACCCCAGTAATGCCCCACATAGTTTCCAGCAGCCAGTGGTTTATTTTCACAGCGTCCCTTTGAGGGACAAAATTAAATTTAAACAACGTAGAGCATAGACGGGCCTTGTAGTACGAATCACAGCACCTTTGCAAGTAGTTACACTTTGGCCATGGTTTCTTGCAGTGCTGGTATTGTGAGCCTACGACAGTGTGACCACTGTGCACAAAAGAGTGACAGGTCTTGTGGACAGTAAGGGATAGTGCAGCAACATCCATTGCGTTGCTCTGCACCTTCACAAACCTGCACCAACCTGCGTTGACCATGCCGAAGGACGATCAGATAATACTCGCGGCCCGCAAGGCAAGGGGAGGCCCTCATCCGGCAGTGGATTGACAAAAACAGCTGTGAATGTACATGTACATTGCTTGTGTAATGGGTTCAACTGAGTCGCAGACGTGGAATTGGAGGCAACACATTTATTCAGTTTCAACACACGATGTAACTTTCCCCTTAACAGAATAACAACCTATGGTGGTGACCACCAGGATAACTACACTAGTTACTACGTGACGTGGAGGGGGGCCATGATCCCCCTCAGCCCCTGGGGGGTCTGGGGTGTCAACCTCCAGTCACAGAGGGGCGGGGGTTTGACCTTAGGTCAACCCCTACCAGAGGTCGCAAACGGGTTTTGATTCCTTACACATACCCTACCCGAAATGAGTGACAAACGGCTACTCACCAGTGACTCACGGCCTACCCATACCCGTACCCGGCCGCACCAGGGTCGCAAACGGCTACCCGTATCCGGCTGGGTACGGGTAGCCGGGTATCGGGTAGGGTACGGGTATCGGATACTCGGTTGCGACCTCTGACCCCTACCCACCTCGCTCTCTCTCGGCGGCCCCCTGTCGGCCCGTAAGCGTGGTGGCAGGTCAGCCGCCTACAGCGCCTTATTACGGCGCAACACACCCCACGCCCTTGTGGTATCCGCGATGTCGCTACACCGCACGCCGTGACCCTCTAGGGCCGGCACTGCACCCAGCATGTTGACATCCAGCGATGTCACGACACTTGCATTGTTTGAAAAATTGAGAAAGATCCATTTGCACGATAGGAACATTACATTTCAAGCAAGTGTTCAGAGCCGACAGTGATGGGAAATGCCAGGTGGGGTCAGTTTTTATTATTCAATTAAAGTTTTAAATGAGAATAAAATAATAGAGTAAATGTACTCGAGCGATGTGCTTATGTCAGGCAACAGACTCCCCATCTCTGCTATGCAGAAGAGCCTTTGCTAAAAATGCTTTCAATAAATGTAATAATTTACCTGATATACTTTTTTTACTATTTTTATCTATGATCAAACAGTTTAACACATAGGCTTTCGCGACCAATATTATTCATAAAGGTTTTTCGGTTACATCGCGTAAGTACAAATGTGTTGTAACCCTCCACCACCTGACACAGCCAGTAAGGGGCCATCCATTGAGTACGTATGCAAATATCTGTCAAAACTTGACCCCTCTCTGTACACACGCGGACTTTTTACACCCCCCCACCCCCACCTGCGTACGGACGCTTGACGCAATCGTATAGAACGGCCGATATTTAATCCATGCAGAAACGATCAAGGATTGATAATATGAACGTGTTTAAGCAAACAGACAGTCCACCGCCGAACTATCTAACTCATTTGAAGGCCAATGTAGACAAATAATTATTATCGAGGCTTCAACCCCCCACCCCCCGCTTTTATTTTGAACGGTTTTTGAATGACACGCACAAACATGTTTATGGGATGCTTAAAATCGAGATTTGGGGGCCTTAAAATGAAAAATCGCGATTTTTTTTTCTGTTGTGTGTGTCCTAAAAGCTACCTATCTACACAATTTCTGCTTTCTACGTTGTCGGGAAGTACCCTCGATGTTTTCGAGACATACAGAATTAAGGTATTTATCTATATAGATACCTGGTGCATTGTGAGAAAATGAACACGAGGAAGATTACTTTGTCGTGTTCAAAGAACACGACATGACAAGATGGTGTTAATAGGATATCCGTGAATGTTTGGAATTGTGAATGCACTTAATATGTTTTCCCATTCCTTTATTTGTTGCAGAACATTCTTCTTTGTCTGCATATGACCCTACCAAGCCATCAGATACTGGTCACGCATCTCAAGGAAATATCATTATCGCCCTCATGTCCGTCATATTACTCCTTCTGCTGGCATGTCTGGTGTTGCATTTTTCCGAAAGAATCCGCAGAAGAATATTAACTGCTATGCTATCCAGAGAAGAAAAAGGTATGTTCAGAAGAATCAAGTTCTTTAAACAATATTTAATGCTTTCAATGATTGCATGTAACATTCGAGAGAATAATGTAGGTACATACAAAAAAATGTCTGTCATGGTTATAAACTCTATGTCCACGCATTCTTTAGAACTATAAGGTTGATGTGGAATGGAAATGCCTGGCTTCTCGTTGCGATGTGCAAAAATTCACAACACTGGCAGAAGAGCCCTTTTTTTTTTACAAAGCACTTGAAAACACTTCCCATTTTTACACCGCAACAAAAAAAGATGAGAGGGGCATTGCAACAGTGCCATCGTGATGGCACGGGGATTGGTTAGCCTGAGATACGTCGAGCAGAAAGCCAGCATGTACAAGTTCTGATATGAACGCGTATAATGAAATGAATCGGAATTAGCTCAAGAGATTTGTTTTGTAACCAGTGTATTTAATTACCGTGATTTCCTGAAAGTTGCCAAAGTCACGTAAGACTGTTCATGATTCTTAAAATTCAGTGTAAAGGCTAAAGACAGCCAAACCAAATCATGTTATTGAAGATACGAAGACTATCTTTTTGGTTCTTTCGGTAAAGTCATGTAGAAGGGAAATAATAAAATAATAAAAATGAAACATAATAAGATACAATTCCCACGACGTTTCGGCCACAACACAAGCAGCCATCCTCAGGTGAAGAACAGGTCTGTCAGAAAGACAGCGTCTGAATGCTGTCTTTCCGACAGACCTGTTCTTCACCTGAGGACGGCTGCTTGCGTTGTGGCCGAAACGTCATGAGAATTGTATTTTTTAATGTTTATTATTTTATTATTTCCCTTCTACGTGACTTTACCGAAAGAACCAAGAAAATGAATCCCTGCAGTTACAAAAGCTTTAAATCGATACGAAGACTAGTGGGAGATAGACCCCACGCCCTGCTGCAAATCCCAATTATTTGTATAGGCAAACTCAACACCTCTCTCATTCCTTATGGGTGTTTGAATGTGGGCATGCTTAATGCTATGTATATATTTACTGTACAAATATATAAATGTCCGATAAACCTTAAGCAGAACGAACGTGTAACGTAGAACAAGCGAATGTGCTCGTAATTGCATTCACTGTTGGATATATCTTTTTCCGTTTTCTTTTTTGCAGATATCTTTTTACAAGTATCAGAACGTCTGGGCTCGGATTGGAAGCGTTTGGCGCGAAACCTCGGATACATCACTGAAGTCGACATTGAAACAATATCGATGAGCCATGATTCCCTTAAGGACAAGACGTACATGGTTCTCATTAAATGGAAGCAGAATTCAGGAAAAAGTGCCACACTGAGAGAATTGGCGAGAGCCCTAAACAGTATGGACCGTAGAGACCTGGCTGAATTAATCTCATCTACAAATCAAAATGAGATTTCCATGGGTTCGAGAGCTGTGCTGCTTTAGAAAAACTTCAATACTGGCTTGCCCACTTGGAATTAGTCTTGCTTCAAACGTGGGGTGTTGTACATCTGACAGCTAACACAATGGATTGCTTTCATCAAACGAATGTGTGGTTTGGAGTACCACATGATTCCGGAATGTGGACAAACAATATGAGCCGTGATCTACAAGCCACAGTTAAATATAGGTATGTGTGTGTGTGTCAATGATCAGCGTTGTTGCACACTCTGATAACTGGCTCAACACTAAATCACCCATCTCTGGGTGCTCTATATCATGTAGTGTCAGCTACTGCTCGTAGGTTTGGAGGTTGGAAAGTAAGGAGCTAAGAAGTCAGGTGCTGGAGTGAAAACGTGACTGAATGTCCGCATGAAGCAGGCCGCCGGGAGCTCTGACTCGACCATAAATGACACTGCCTCATCACTGGGCCAACAGTGGCCGCCAACTGCCTGGTTTGTTGAATCAGCACGGAGAGACCACAACTGTATACGGCTTCATCGATTGAGACTTCAAGTCGAGTTTTTCTCCTTGGCCACGGGGTTTCCTTCCACTTGTACAGTAAAAAATAAGTCTGCCAAGTTCATTGCTTGCTAAAATATGATTTCATACACATTAGACAGGACGGACAAGATCAAAGAGCTTGCATAATGAACACGCTTAATGTACATTGACTCAGTAATCCCCCCGCTGTGCGCAAGAGCGCAGAAGCGTGGTCACCACATCTACGCCTCTATATGAGGATCGAAACAGACTTCACTAATCTGGCTGTCGCCTGATGAAGCTCGTTGTAATTACTGGCAAAACGTCACGGTACTAAGATTGTAAATGTTGTGGCTTCAGTTTTTTTTTTCAGTTTAATTTATTAGGATTTACCCTGTGAGCCATTTGGCTCTTGATTTGGGTTCAACCGCTTGGCTCTCCAACACACTGGTGTGCTGTACTCGTGACGAATTGGCATGTTCTGTTTACGTGACAACCCTTACTAGTTGGCTGTGTCGGGTGGTGGCGGGTTTAAACGACACATTGATATATTTACGCGATCTAACCCAAAAAACCTCATGGATAAAGTGATATCGCTCGGAATAGACTATGTAATTTATTTAAATGTTAAATCGTTTCCATGTGGTGATCATCTATTTCCGGTTTGCCTATGACCATTTTCATAATGTGCCCAATATACTCAGGTCTCAGAAGCTAAGCAATGTTTGAGCCTGGGTATTACATGGATGGGTTACCATCAAACAAGACAGGTGTTACAGGTTGTTGCCGCGCTATGTTGTGTGCAGCAGAGTGCAGTGCAGCAATTTATGTTTTGTACTGTACGGGCAGTCCCCGACTTACGAATGGATGTCGTTCGTAAATGTATTTGTCCGTATCTTAGAACACACTCGTGTAATGCATTTTATTGCACATACGGTCAGCGTAATAAAATGTGTTACGGTTCAACAAAACAGGGAAGCTTTGTTAAACTTATAAATATTGCAAATAGGTAATAAAGTATCAAATACCATATAGTAAATAACAATATACAATAAAGTAACGTGAAAAGAAAATCCTGATGCTGGCTTGCTTATGCAGGAGAGATGGATGATTAATTGGAAGAAGATTGAGATGCAGGTGAGGATAGAGATGGGGAATTTTCAGGATATTCTAGAGATGTTGCTGAAGAGCTCGATGGGACTGTTTCTGGCTGTCTTTGCAATCTTCCTGAAACACCTATCAAGGGAAACTTGGACAGAGGCCTCCTCCTTTTTGTTCATAAATTCCAAGCAACTCAGGCCATCATTGGCAACTCTACAGACATTTTGGTGAATTTAGATGAGTTTGGGTCTTGTGCCTCAATGATGGCGAAGCCAGCTTCCAAATCCCGCAAAGCTTCAACCAATTGTTCGTGAATATCTCGAGTGACCTCAGCTTCAGCTTTATTAGCAACCTTGTGTGCCTCCACTTCCACGATATCCTCATTGGTTAGCTCTTGTAAGTGGGAGCTGAGTAACCGCTGAACATCATCAGCCTGAACTCAAGCTCAAGTTGATTTACCAATTCAATTACTTTTGTCAGTCACTGTGTGCATAGTGTCGTCAAACCTGCTTGTACTGTGTTCCAAAATGTATCCCTCCCCACCGCCTTCACCAACCTTCACTGACCAGCGTTATGAAGTATAGTTTAATAACCACAATTACCCGCATGGGTCATGATTGCCATGAGCCTTTAAAAAATTCAACATTCATTTGGTGGGCACCAGTTTCTACATATGAGAATTGTTAACATCCCACACATCGGTACTATGTTATTGACCCAGAGGAATGATGGGCCAAATCAACCACTGATGGGGGTTCAAACTCTAACCACACCCAGTGTTGGCATATCGCTAGATGATACATTGGTCGATAGCAGTGGTTGTTAACCTGTGGTGCACTGATTGGTGCAGGGAGGCGCCCCAAAGATCATTGTTTAAGGCCAGGGAATTAAACTGATTTGGAGGAGAAATTCAAACGTAAAAAGCGGGATACGAGGATTGACTGTCGGAGGAACTGTTGCCAATCGGATGATGGGGATTGAGCGAACCTTCGAGGAAAAGGGGGCTCGAGGGATATAAAAGTGGATAGCACAAGGGGAAGGGAGGGTTGTAGAGAAGACGAAGCTCGGGCCTAAAGAACAGTGCTCGTGTGTACAACAAAGCCTCGTGGTAAAGCAAGAACGTGTGCCGGTCGTCGTCACACACACACACCACACCCCGGGTGTGCGAGATGCCCTCTCCGGGGTTGCGAGACATGGCCAGATTTCTTTTTTAGAAGGCAAATCGTCGACACATTAAGCACGAGCGCATAAGTACAACGATTTTATTTTATCAAACCCTATGTATTTATTAACATGTGTTTTTACTTTCGAGAAGCTAAGGGGTACAAAGGCTGCAGTAAAGGTTAAGAACCACTGGTTTATAGGGTCCAATATTAGTATCGTGTGTAGCTTCAGTATCAGTGTCTATGTTGGCCTATGAGACTGTGGTGAAATCTAACCCCATCATAGGTTATTAGCATATTCATTCTGTACTGCACTGTCTCCCTTGGAGATATTTAGTCGAAAACTTGGAAATACTCAAATTCTATAGAAAATTCTCAAATTATGAAGCATGTATAGATATTAGCCTATGGTAAACTAAGCATGCATCGATATTCAAATTATCAATTTACATTAATGATTACGTTCACGATACATTGAATTGTGCATTTAACCATCTCTGGTTAACAAATCTGGTAAATTATATTCCATTACCTTGAGCTAAAGGTGTCGACTAAACTGTATGGAAATGGTACAGAAGAAAGCAAGAATGTAATACAGTTGAGACGTGTGTGGAAAACCGACATGTGGTCATGTTAAAAGGTGCTGAGCTGTTTTCCTGGACTGAATGGATTCATGGAGCTGGTGGAAAACTCATACCTGTCAACCCCTTATCAGCGCCTACCTTATTACAGACCAATTCAGACCATATTGGTCACCCCGTGGCCCTTTAAATCTCAACGTTCATCCTACATAGTGCCATCACAAGGGAGAAACACAAACCAATAGACAAACAATTTGTTTTGCCCGTACTGAAACGGCTGAATGCCGTGTGGACGTGAAAGCTAAATTTCCCTTTACAAAAATACGGGTAAACCGTATGGGTTGACAGGTATGAAAATTGTGTTTTACTGTTATAAGACGATGCTGAGTGTGATCACCTTTGACTACAAACTTAGTGGGGTGCTGAATAAGGAAATAGACGACATTTCAGGTGCGGGATGAACATAAAGCCTGAGAACAAAATAAAATTGCGAGTGAATCAAGGTGTATAGTACAACCACGTGTAAAACTGAGCAGTCTCATAACTCAAAGCTGAAGAAATAAGTCAAAAGTGGACGTTAAAGTGGTCTCAGAATGTCAAATGGGAATGTGCTGGGACATTTGTGGACCGTCTAATTTCACTGAACTGTGGCGTTGCTCCTCTGCATCGAAACAAAACTTCACCCAAACTTGATTTGAAGCTTTCGCGACTGCGGGAATAACCCTTTGGTTATTTCGGTAAGGTCTACGTGACTTTACGGACAAAACCAAAGAGTAAAACTGCACCCCTCACCGTATGAGAATAGGTTTTCTCCTTGTTTTCTGGCAACAAAACAGCTGTGTTAAGATGTTAAAACACCAAACTGAATCAATTTACAAGGAATCATGTCCGCATTAACCACGATGCTTGTGGTCAGAATGCAAATAAAAAACACCCTCTGATAATATGTGGCGCTGTCTTTGAAACTGATTGGTCCACACCAGAGACGGCTTTCTTTCGAGCCTAGTCTCCCCTCACCGTCGATATGCAGCAGCATGCCCTACTCGTGCTGCTGCTAAACACTGTGGCAACTGAGGAGGCAGAAGTGAGACCCTTTTTTGGTTTGCCAGGAAGGGTACAACCGATATTTATTTTTCAAAAATTCATACCCAGGCAGACGTGTTTTAGTCGCTGTAGGCCAGGGGTGTCAAACATACGGCATCGCAGGCCGGACGCGTTCCGCCACGACGTTCCATTGTTAACGACTGATATTTAATATATATACTCCGTTGGTTCTTTCGGTAAAGTCACGTAGGTAGACGAGAAAATAATAGATGACGACGTTTCGATCGCAACAAGACGGTCGCTTGTTGTTGTTGTTTTTTTCTACCTACGTGACTTTACCGAAAGAACCAACGAGTATGGATTGCTGCGGTCACGAAAGCTTCAAATCAAGATTGATATTTATATATATTAAAGTATTTCTAACCCCTCTCGATGCCCCACACCTCGACATCCAACACCCACCCCACTCTCTCCCCACCCCGCCTCCTGCCCTTCGCCTGATTGCCTCACAAGTGACGGCGTCGCAGTTTGACCCCTCGATCTAAGACCCAAACAGCAGGATTCTGGCTTGTCGCGTGATGATGCTGGTTGCGATTACCGGCGAAATGCGATGCTCGAATTGTACACGTTGTGGGTTTTACTCTCCCAACACGCCGGTGTGCTGAACGGGTAACGAATTTGAATGTTTCGTTTACATCACAAATCTTACTCATTGGCTGTGTCGGGTGATGGCCGATGTAACGATGCATTGATATTTTTTATATTCTTCGCGAACGTCTATGCGTTAGACTGAGTGGGACATCCCTGCTCTCGAATGATCAACGCTGCTGGTTTCTACTGTATCATGTTTGCTAATTTTGCTGCTATTGTGAATGTTGATGCTTTGTTTCTGTCTAAACCGAGACCGATGTAACTGTCAGAGAGATGACATGCGTGGTCATGTTTCAAGGGGCAGAGATCCTTTCACGCTGTATTTGGAGAAGCGATTGGAAACGTGGCGTGTTGCTGGAAATCCGTGTTTTATGGTTCCGATGTGTTTCGTTAATTAGTTTTACAAGACCACCCTGAGTGAATTGGGTGCTGAATAAGGAAATAGACTACGGACGTCAAATGTGAATTGAATCGCAAAACCAACTCCACCCTCCACACCAATTTCACGGGTGTGTTGGCTGTTTACGACAAATATTTAACGACTCTGTAATCACTGATACAGGACATTAATCGTATGGTGGACTTTGTTATTGAAATGAATACCAATGCACTGTATTTGCTCTCCATACATTGGTCATGACTTTATAACAGCGTTAAACATTTAGGGCCATAGATTAAGAATACAGACTGCCGTCCTGCACAAATAAAGTATTTGTTTCCATGTACATCCGATTGTGCCTGCTGTCACTATGTTTCAATATAGTCAATCGGAACACTAACTTTTCACTATACAGGAAAACCTTGCCCGACGCGGCTTTATCAAACGCGTGTTTCGGTTATAGATCTAATGACGTCTGCAAATGGGGGTGATGATGTTTTGGCGATACGCGGTTTGACACACCGTAAATGTTTCCGGATGCATCTCGCCGCCCACTCGTTGAGGACTTTAGTCATATTGGATGCCCAGATGGTTAATGATAAACGACCAAGTGACAGTGATAAGAGGGGAACAGTTGGCTGGGAATTCAATGTCAGGTGCGAGCATTGTGCGTGAGTGGGCCATGGAGACGGGCTTTGTATGTGTTGAGGTGGAATTTAAAAACAAAGAGTGTACACAAACAAAACATGGGAAGCGACTCAGGTATTTTAACAAGGGCGGAAATCGCGTAGAATTAGTTCACCTAAGATGGAGAGGGTGATCATTTCAGACGCAGCAACGCAATGTTTACCATAAGGTCTATTATTTGTCGAACACGGTTTTGTTCAACACGGCATTTTCCAAAGAATGTAATTCCCGCGTTCGTCGAGGTCGGAATCAGAATCTTTATTTATCCTGGGGAAATCCGATGAGCTATGAAGCTATTTTTCACAATGTCCAGTATGGGCGGGTCAGAAAGTTACAGTAACAAACAATAGAAAAAAAACGATAGGAGCGCATATATGTATTTTAGCAAATCACTAAAAATAAATACGTATAATAGATATAGTTTTTAAGTTCAAATTGCATATTACACCAACTTCAAATCTTGGGCAAGGCAGAAAAACAACAGCAAGAACAGTCCGGCCAAGACAACACACAGTCCCTCAATAAAATTGTACATCCAAATTTTACTCATGATACATTAGTAACGATGAAATCATATTTGCAAATGCAGTTGTATCCAATCTAGATCTGAAGTTTTCGTGACTGCAATGATCCAAACTCTTTGGTTCTTTCGCTAAAGTCACGTAGGTATAAAATATTTTTTTTTAATAAAAAAAAATAGTTATAAAAAATGGTTTATACCTACGTGACTTTACCGAAAGAACCAAAGGGTACAGTTGTATCCAGCACGAATCCTCTGCTTCAGGATATTTTTCTAAGGAAGATTTACGATGCTAAGGGAGGAAACAAAGTTGTTCCAAAACGTTGATGCTGCAACGGCAAAGCCTTCGTTAACCAATCTCTTTGTTTTTCTTCTTCTTGGTTCTTTCGGTAAAATCACGTAGAAGGGAAATAATAAAATAATAAAAATGAAACAATCAAATACCGCCCTTATTATTTTATTATTTCCCTTCTACGTGACTTTACCGAAAGAACCAAAAAGATGAATCCCTGCAGTCACGAAAGCTTTAAATCGAAATTCAATCTCTTTGTTCTTGGGATAGTTAAAAGGCAATTTGATGGACGTCTTCGGTTTCTTGGGATTGACAATGAGGTTAATTAGGTTAGTATAGTACAGCTTGGCAATGAGGATGTTTTTGGATGGACCTAATGTCGCTTTATTCTTGCATCAAGTGATGTGAGATTGGATTGTAAGTAGATGTCACAATTGCGCGTCCTGTATTGTACGTCCACTGTAAATCAAAGCGTAGAATGATATGGCGGGTTTAGTCTGTTTAGTGTTCCATTAGTATCTGATTTGAAAGTAGTGTCACAGCCATCAAAAAGTGGTAGAATGATAGCTTCAACCATTTCCAGGTGCAATCAAATGGGAAAACAATGTTTCTGTGTACTTTTGATTTCATTGAAGATGTGATCAAGGCTGCCAGTATTTCCATACTCATTGTTTCCCTTCTCAAATGACCATTGGGACAGCAAAGTGACAGGTTGGTGGGCCCTGAGCCAGCAAGGGAACTTTCACATTCCCCCAGCAGGATTCAAATGATCCATAGAACGACGACAATTAACTTCCCAAAGAGCGCTCAGGTAGCTTTGATCAGAGCACTCGGCTAACACCACTATGATCATGGGCTCACGTCCAGGCAGCTGTGTTAACACTCTAGTCTCGGCCAGGTCACCAATAACGACACGAAGACATCACATTGAATTTCTAAACATTCCTGCGGAGGGAGCTGGTAGGAACGTTGGGTTGCTCGGTCAATGGCCAGAGTCAACGGCGGCGTGGTGTATTCGGAAAATATGGCCGACTGTGAGGGCGGGCACAAGCCGGCGTGAAGTAGGTTACACGTTGAGTTTTATAAGGGCACCACGGGGTGACCAGCCCCTCCCCACCCAGCCCCACCCCTCCCACCCCCACCCAGCCCCACCCTCCCCACCCAGCCCCTCCCCACCCTCCCCACCCAGCCCCTCCCCACCCTCCCCTCTCCACCCAGCCCCACCCCTGCCATTTTTGGATGCACGACGGACGGACAGAATATACCCCTGTGGGCTGGTGTAACCAGGAGGTTCCTACCAGTATAAATTCTAGCACTGTTCTGTTAGACCCTAGATCAGTGGTTTTTTACCTGGGGTGCACGCACCCCCTGGTGGTGCGAGATGATGTTTCTGGGGTGTGTGAGACTTGGGCAGATCTTTTTTCGAAGGTAAATGATCGAAACACAAATTTAGCACGGGCACGAAAGTACAACTACTTTGTTTCATCAACATTATACATATTTTAACTGATTGAGAACAAAGGCTGCAGCAAACGGTTAAGAACAACTGGCCTATATATGAATGCAACAATTTCCACCGAGTCAAATGCGATTTGATCCTCTACAAAGGATGAACGCAATGTTATTCAATGCTGCTTCGTCTCTTCATTAGTTCATAATTGACGATTAATATGGAAGTGGTTTATGGTCGGAGACACTTTTTGGTTTCTAATTGTGACTGAAAGCCTCGATGATTTCCACTTATTTGTCTCCAGAAATCTGCATCAGAGTTTATACGCACAAGATTAAAAAAAAAGGCTAATGGGTCTGTACTTCTTCAAGTCGGGTTTACCAGCCTTTTTGAAAGTCTGAATTATTGAGGCATCATTTCCACGAATTAAGTATTTAATTGTAATCAATATACATCCCTTGCCATGACATGCAACAGTAAACACTGGCATCGACAAGGGAAGGGAACACAATCCGAAAATAAAAGAAACGGTGTGAGTCTGCAATTATACCGAGAGGAACGCGTCGATCATAATGCACGCGAGTTTGATTAATCGTGTTGACTTAGGAAAAGTAAGTGGGCCTAGGCAGGACGCGTCCCTGGAAGAGATCATGGTCCCGTGGTTGAGACAAACGACTGAGTGGTCGCCATGAAACCATCACGGGAACTCCGGTCATCCTAACGCCAGCGGCTTCTGAGTGACTCATACAGCCAGCTATGGCTGCAGAGTTTGGTAATACTGTACATGTTGTTTACGTCGTTTATTGTGAAAAATCGGTCACAGTACCTATGATCACTGTCTCATTGCTTTTATGGCTTTATTTTGGTGATTTTTGAAAAGATTTTCGGTTTGGCCATGTTTGTTTGTTGTAGTGCAGGGTTAGACTGATGGCATGAATCTAAGTTGTCTTGTGGTTGTTGTTGTTTGACTTGCATCCCACTGGGATTTTTGCACACAGTGTTGGTGTACGGTGCTTTTTCTACAATATTTTGCTGTCTTTTCTTGGATTTTCGGTTTGCACATAGTCACTTTAAGTTGTTTTCTTGTTCATGTTTTTGTTTTTTTGTTTGTTGCGATTGCACCCGATTCAAGAGCCGAATGTCTCACAGGGCTATACCTAATAAATGAAACATGAAACTTCTGGCTGGCCATCGAGCAAAGACGGCGGTGACCGCATCGCGCGCTTTCAGATGCGCTTCGGCGGTCGTCCGGAACGCCCCGCCTTTAGGAAGCCACTGGATTGTATGTCTGGATTGAGAACTAATTTCTTGAGCACTGCTTTGCAGAGGTGGGACAAAGTCATTGTTATGCAAGTCCAAGTCGAGTCTGAAGTCATCAAATTCATGACTCGAGTCTGACTCGAGTCCAAGTCACATGACTCGAGTCCACACCTCAGAGGTGGGACAAAGTCATTGTTATGCAAGTCCAAGTCGAGTCTGAAGTCATCAAAATCATGACTCGAGTCTGACTCGAGTCCAAGTCACATGACTCGAGTCCACACCTCTGCTGCTTTGCGTTCAGATCGTTGTTCGACCCCCAGACTTCCGATTAGTTCGTTTGGCTACGTACGGTGCGAAATAAGTTCCAGATGCATACAATGCACAAGAGTAAGTTCTCCGCGAAGACGGAGTGATGAATCCAGCTCGTGTGCAGGAGTTAGATGGATTGTTGCACCTTGCACGTATATTAATTCTTCGCAAGCTGTATGTTAAGTTCGTATTTTAACTGTGTCAGCACTGCAGTGCAACACCGTTAATTTCCTTTGACTGGGAGTTGCACACTGCCCAGCGCCAACAGACGGCGACGGATCCCAACCTCAATGTCACCGTTCAGTCACTCATCTACAACGCAATCTTTATTTAGCCTTTAACTGGGACCTGAATACGTGAGCACTGGAAGTCAAGGTTATGTTGAGCCTCAGGACGTCCATTATATCTGGGAATGGTGATGACTTTTTAATGCACTTCCTTCCATTACACAAAAAATAAAAACAGCAACCCAACTCTACGATGTTATCGTTCGCGTTATTGAACCTCGTGCAATTCGTCTCGAGGCTATTTAACAAAATGCGGCCACAGAAACTACTGCTATGATTAACGAGGGCACAAAGAAGTGCAACTTCTTTCAAGTCACGTGTCAGACACCACATCCCCAAGCAGCCGGTAGATGGCAGGAATGCGACATCCACTTGCAAGCAAACCACTGACATCACTTTTGAGTCGTCCGCAATGCATTGGTTTCGATCGAGAAAATGACCTCACTGAGACGCGAGAACGGCGAACAGCGACCTCCAACGCGGTGTTCATTTTATTGACGAAATTAGTGAC